TGTTCACTAATATAGTTATGTGATTTTGTCTGCCTTCCATATTTCAATTGGATAAGTTTTTAACGCTTGAAAACAAATAAATAAAAATAAATTTTAACTTGCGGTTAAACGAAAAATTCTTCGAGTGGACAATACACCTGAAGTCCCCTCCACCTCCGATAGAAAACTCTTGGATGCGCCACTGAATACATGAATATAGAGAGCACGTATTTTCGCAATTGGTGAGATACAGTTACCAAATCCTTCGAATCGTAAATCATGAAAGTACCACCTCTCATTCCGAGTTATTTTTTGAGTTTACCTAACCCATGGTTCCAAATATGTTTGTTAGGACTCTCATCTCTTTATAATTTCTGTTTGCTTTGACTGGTTCCCTGCCAGTTTTTCCCATTGTCTCATTTCCTCTACAGGCAGCCTCGTACGTACAAAACTGGAGTAAATATTGTGTGTGTAGTGATGCTTAAATTATCCGAAAATCTCTGCGAGCTCTATGATCGATGGAGTGAAGTAATTAACGATCATTCAATGGGTAGTGCGCTAATAGCTATTGCTGAGAAGGAATCTCATCGACCTAATTTCTCCGTTTGAAAAGAAAAACACCGTTCAGAAATGACTTCAGCTTCACAATTTTTTTTAATTCCTCAGTCCACCTTGCTCGTTTCATTTTTGTCAATTTTCTTCGAAACATAAAAGATGGGCAAAACTATATGTAGTTGGTACAGGAAAATGAAGTTGCATCATTTTCTCATTCAAACAATATCCATGACCATAGTGACACTTTCCGGAGCTAGTGGTGCAACTGCTAATACGATAATATTAGCTACCGTAGTTTTTATTGTGTTTTGGTCTTTTGCTAAAGAAAACGTTTGTACAACACCAAAACACGGGGGGAAAACTATTACTTGCATCCCAAAGTCACAGTCTCAACGCCTTTGTATACAACGGGTGTAATGTTCAACTGTTTAAGTTCCTGCGCTTCTTGAACCGTGCGGAGCAAATATTTAACGAGCAGAAAACGCACGTTTTTAAACGCGAAGTACTTTTCCTTCTCTATACAGTTTCAATGTAAAAACAGTACCTCGCAATACAGCTCTTCAGTTTTCGATCCACTTCCTGTGCACGGAAAGAAAGGAAAAATAGAGCGCTTAAAGCGGGCATTGGTTATCATTACATTATCTGCGCAATAGGTCTAGCTGGCAGGGATGCGGGTGTGAACGGTGCAGACTTCGCAGTAACCTGTGCACTCGGCCGACATCACAGTGTTTAGAGGCGGCTACACCAAGTGCCGTCTGAAAAACGTCGACTTTTTACCTTTCCGGGGGGCAGCTTCGCCACAAAATGGTACATTCATAATTTGGAAAAAAACACAAGATATACAGTGGAAAAAATTACTCTTTAGTGATTTGTTTCGTTGGATTTCGTATGTGCAGGCACAACAGATTACTAGACAATTACAATCACCTACTCGTATTAGGCTACCCGATGTTTTCTGAACAGCGATAACATGCGTAGATGAGCCTCGTGTGTGCAGATGTCTCGTAGATGAGTCTCGTGTGTACAGATATCTCTCGTGTTCCTGAAGAGCGCTAGTACGGGAAGTCTCCCTTCTCGCGTGTCTGGGCTCGCGCTTTAACGGCCATCGAGTGCGCAGATGTCTTTCACGGGCTCCACGAGCGCGCGCTGCTTGCGACCGCGCACGGCCCGGCCACGGGC